AGCCTGCGATGGCACTACAGCAGGCCTGGGAAAAACAATTTGGCTGGCCGACGCAACAGGGAGCCCCCAAGCAGACTCCCCTGCTTGTCCTGCCCCTGCACACCACTCAGAAAAGAGGCTGCAGGGCAGTTTGTTTTTCACAAACAGTGAGCTGAGAGGGAAGGGGATAGTGGTGTCTCATGGCTGTTCTACCCCCAGCACAATCCTATTCACTGGTTTCTGGCCAATGAAAGTTGCCTATTTCAAGAACAGACAGTGCACAAAGGAGGCTCTTATTCAAAGAGCACATGGCCCTGCAGCCTCTGCGCGAGTGGGGAAGGCTCCTGAGAAATGTGTGTCTCCCAGCCAGAGCCTGCATTCCTCTGTCCCTCCTCCCCTGCACACTCTCCCCCCAACCCTCTACCTCCCCCCAAACTCATACCCCCTTCCCAGACCCTACACTCCAATCATCTGCCCCAGATCACAATCCCCTCCTGCCCTAGGTCACAATCCAAACCCTGGCACCCCTCCTCCACCCCACTACCCCGCCCTAGATCACAATCCCCTCCCCACAGCCCCAGACTCCTGACGTAACACCCCCACACATCCCAACCTTATGCCCATAGTCCATGATACACCTGAAACCCCTGTCCTGAGGTCCTCATGCCCCCATGCTCCTGAACCCCCACATCCCCAGTCCCTGCCATAACACTCCTGCACTCCCACACACGCTTACCTCCTGGACACAGACATCCCAACCCAGATTCCTGCACCCCCACATCTCCAAGCCCCTGCCATAAGATTGAAAGAAGACAGTAGCCTGAATGCGTGCATGAAACTGGATTCGACCAGTTATGACGTAAACTTCAAATAAATGCACGAAAGCATTTGCAGCAGCACAAGTCCCATTAAATAAAAGTACAAAATTTTATTTATGCTATTATTAATCATTATGTCAATTAATAATATTAAGTTGTATATTTTCAGTCATGCAAGTGGGCATTCTTATATGGCTCTTTGTTGATCACTGGTTCTGAATTTTGATGTAGTTTGGCTCTTTTTTGTTTGAAAAGGTTACTAACTCCTATAAAAACACAATACAGATTATTTTGTGTTCATTGTTCCATATTGCCTGTGCCCAGATGAGAATTTTTGACCAAATTTGAAGTGATTCAGAGGCCATTTTTGCATATACAGGCAGTCCCCGACTTACGCGGATCCGACTTATGTCGGATCCGCACTTACGAACGGGGCTTTCTCGCCCCGGAAGTTGGGGCGAGAAAGCCCCGTTCGTAAGCTGCTCCGGTGCCCCTGGTCTGCTGGAGACGGTCTCCAGCAGACCAGGGGCCCCGGGGCAGCTTACGAACGGGGCTTTCTCGCCCCGGAAGTTGGGGCGAGAAAGCCCCGTTCGTAAGCTGCTCCGGTGCCCCTGGTCTGCTGGAGACGGTCTCCAGCAGACCAGGGGCCCCGGGGCAGCTTACGAACGGGGCTTTCTCGCCCCGGAAGTTGGGGCGAGAAAGCCCCGTTCGTAAGCTGCTCCGGTGCCCCTGGTCTGCTGGAGACGGTCTCCAGCAGACCAGGGGCCCCGGGGCAGCTTACGAACGGGGCTTTCTCGCCCCGGAAGTTGGGGCGAGAAAGCCCCGTTCGTAAGCTGCTCCGGTGCCCCTGGTCTGCTGGAGACGGTCTCCAGCAGACCAGGGGCCCCGGGGCAGCTTACGAACGGGGCTTTCTCGCCCCGGAAGTTGGGGCGAGAAAGCCCCGTTCGTAAGCTGCTCCGGTGCCCCTGGTCTGCTGGAGACGGTCTCCAGCAGACCAGGGGCCCCGGGGCAGCTTACGAACGGGGCTTTCTCGCCCCGGAAGTTGGGGCGAGAAAGCCCCGTTCGTAAGCTGCTCCGGTGCCCCTGGTCTGCTGGAGACGGTCTCCAGCAGACCAGGGGCCCCGGGGCAGCTTACGAACGGGGCTTTCTCGCCCCGGAAGTTGGGGCGAGAAAGCCCCGTTCGTAAGCTGCTCCGGTGCCCCTGGTCTGCTGGAGACGGTCTCCAGCAGACCAGGGGCCCCGGGGCAGCTTACGAACGGGGCTTTCTCGCCCCGGAAGTTGGGGCGAGAAAGCCCCGTTCGTAAGTGCGGATCCGACATAAGTCGGATCCGCGTAAGTCGGGGACTGCCTGTAGTACAGGAAAAAGAAAGATGTCAGTTCAGATGCTTCAAAACTGTTTGTCCAAAAAGGTTCAAACGGGCTTCAATTGAAAGAACATTGAGAAATCTAGTATATATTTTTAATTTTCAGAAGAGGAAATACTGGTAAACTATAATGTCAGAATGGCCTATTGGGCTATGGCGGACTTTAAAAAGAACTAAGCAACTACTGGAGACCTACGTTTTCACTTTAAGAAGTTCTATTATGAAGTTACATTTCCAGGTGTGACACTGACTTACAAAGCTAGTTGCAATGATTAAAAAAAAAAAAGTCACCATCCTCTTTCTCTTCCCCACTTACTATGCTATTGCCAATCCCTCAGGCACACAGAATCATACAGCACTAGAACTGGGAAGAACCTCAAGAGGACATCAAATCCAGCGCCCTGCATTAGAAGCAGGACCAACCACCATTTAAGACCATTCCTGACAAGTGTTTGTCTTAAAAAATCTCCAATGATGGGAATTCCACAACATCCTTAGGCAATTTATTTCAGTGCTTAATCACCCTGAGAGAGTTCAGAAGTTTTTCCTAAACCTCCCTTGATGCAATTTAAGCACATTGCTTCTTGTTCTATCATCAGAAATCAAGGACAATAATTTTTCTCCCTCATCTTTGTAACCACCTTTTAGGTACCTGAAAGCTATTATCATGTCCCCTCTCTGTCTTCACTTTTCCAAGAAACCCAATTCTTTCAATCTTCCCTCAAAATTCATGTGTTCTAGACCTTTCACCACTTTTGTTGCTCTTTTCTGGACCCTCTCCAATCTGTCACAGCTTTCCTGAAATGTGGCCCCCAGAATTGGACACTGTACTCCAGATGAGGTCTAATCAATGCAATGTTAACTCAGGGCATATCTAAACTACATTCCTCTTCTGAAAGAGCCCGATCGAAAATGCAAATGAAGCACCGATTTACAAATCTCATGCTTCATTTGCATAATTGCATGTGAGCGCTTTTTCAAAAAAGAAACCGCAGTCTAGACGGGGTTCTTTTTTTTTTTTTAAAGCCCTTTTTCAAAAGAACCTGTACTCTGTCCAGACTGCGGTTTCTTTTTTGAAAAACCCTTTTTTGAAAGTGCTCTTGAGCGATTATAAAAATGAAGCATGAGATGTGTCATATCTGACTGCTTCTAAATCATTTTCTTCCTGCTATACTCTGAAGGAGACATGCAACTAGAAATGCTGAGTCTCCTCCTACCTCCTAGATTTCAGGACCGAATGACAGCAGGTCTACCAATGCCTCTTCCCAATCAACTCAGCTTCTCCCAACTTCTTCACACAGACTACGTCTACATTGCACTTTCCTGCGCAACATATGCAAATGAGGCTTGGTGATGAATATCACCGCACCTCATTTACATACTTAGTAGCTGCTATTTTTGCACTGCACTGATCCTCCTTGCGCAAAACCCCCCTCTTGCGCAAGAGCCGTTTTGGCACTTATTTTCAAGCAGAACGACTCTTGCGCAAGAGGGGGTTTTTGTGCACAAAAGTTCAATGCAGATGTAGCCACAGAGAAGTTAAATTCCATGAAAGTGGTGTCTTCTGAAAAAGTTTCAGAAAAGTTTAGAAAATTCTGAAAAAATACCCTGAGGAAATGAGTCCTTATGTCACATTTTCTAGGCCGTGTGGTGAGAAAAAAATATGACTAAGAGGAAAGGATTTTCCTATCCAATGGTAAAATTTTCTATGTATTTCTTCTGTACTCTACAAAAGGGAAGCAAGAAGCAACAGAAACATCACCATGAACCTCTGCATGGAAAAATCTGATGGCAACTTTTGGCATGTTTACACTTACCAGCAGTGTTCTCTCTAATCATTTGCATACATGTATGGATTTTTTCCCCACCCATGTGCAGAATGAATGTTTATGTGCATTGAGGCATGTGCAAATGTGCACCATTAGTAAAAACAACGCACCTAGTGATGGGCTCTCTGCTAATCAGTTGACTGGCATGTGAATCTCTCCTGACAAGTGTCATAAGTGAACAGCTTATAGGAAGCACTGCTTAACAGGCATCGGTGCTATTGCAATCAATCCAATGGGGTCAATTTGGTGGATCCAATAAAGATGCATTAAATCAGTGATCGGCAATCACGAAGAATGAGTGGACCACATGAGTGGTCCTTTATCTCAGTGGACTGCAGCAGCCCATGTCCCACTGGGGCCCCACCTATGGCCCAGCAGATCAGTCTGTCCCCCTCCCCATGTGCCTCTTGCACACTGGAGCCCTGCACTTCCTACTGCTCCCCCTCCTTCCCAGCATTTTTGGAGCATCTTGAATCAGCTGATTCATGCTCAAGCCTTGCTGCTTCCCCTCCCAGAGCTTCAATAGCCGTGATTTGCAATGTTCCAACTCTGGAAGGGAGGGGGAGGAGTGGGGACGAAGTGCAAATCAGCCGATTCGGTGCTCCAAAAATGCTGGGAGCGAGAAAGAGGAGCAGGAAGTGTGGGGCTCCCGTGCCTTGGTGTGTGGGTAAGAGGAGCAGACAAAGGGTCCTTGGACCGCCCACTACTAAACTAAATCAACCACAGATTGCACTCCTGCCAATTTCAGTACTCCACTGGAACAAAATGTGCCTGGTATCCTTGCCTCCTATAGCAATTGCATTTAACTGATCTCAGGCGCAGAAGTCTGAAAGTTTTTAGAGGATATTACTTTAATATATAAATACAGTTAAAAAAATGTAACTCCCCTCCAACTTCCACATACTCAAACATACACACTCTCACATACATTTTTGAATACGTACAACAATTTTAATGTAATTTTAATTTTGAAGGATGATACTTTTAAATTTAGAGTACACTTTACATACCTTTGGTCTATCCCCAAGAAATCCACTACAGTTTGGGGCGCCACATTTACAGACAGTTTTTTCATTGCCAAGACAGTCAAGGTTGTAGTTAAAAGTCAGCTCTGTTCCTGAAAAAAAGATAAAAACAGTTTTATCATCTCCCTTTAATAAACGTGAAATACAGGATAACAAAATACATCAACAGAAAATTAATAAATAAATGTTCTTCCATTTTAGTGTCTTCTCTCTGATTCTCTATCTTATTTTTCCTCTGGACAGTTCATAAACATTGATACCGACTAGGCAGATGTCAAGTACGGATTTCTAATATTTACCTTATTCAATTATGCATTTTATATGAACTGATTTGAAACCTTCTAGCTGTGCTCAAAGCTGGCCTGTGTAAATGTATTTTTTTGTTACATCCTGCTTTCCTCACTGTTTGTTATACTCGTGCTAAATCTTACCTCAAATAACTAAATTCTGTTTAAGACAAGGACTATCTTTTACTATGTATTGGCAAAACAACACACCCCAGTGGGAACCCAATGCAAATTGGATCTTCTCTGGTCCTGCACCTGAGTGGTACCAGAGTTTTCTGGACATGGGGAGGTCAAGGCCCCCATCTGGGCCGTGGGCATCTCTGGAGCCTGGGATTCCCTCCCGCTGTTGACCCCATGCTCGGATTCCAAGGGTCAGCCTCTTCGGGCTGGGATTCCCCCCAGCTGTTGCCAGCCCCTCTCTGCTGGGGATCCCAGGCTGGTCCTGGGCTTCTTGCTGTTCCCACTGCCGCTGGGGTTCTGGACTGTGGATATCCCCGCTGCTGGCCCTGCTTCCACCAGGGTTCCTGGCTGAGGACTCCCCACACCCACCACCGGCTCAGCTGCTGCCTGGTTTCCCAGCTGGGGATTCCTTTGAACTGCTGCAGGAGCTCCCTGGCGTAGGGCTCCCCACCCACCAGACCCCGCCAGCCCAGGTGGGGCTCCCCAGCATCCAAGGGGCTCCCAGCAGACTTGTGCTCTTCATCTCTGGGGCTCTCCTGTCCAGCAATATCCGTGGTCCTACCTTCCAGACCACAAGTGTTGCTAGACCAGAGAGTCCTGGATTTGGGAGGTTCAACCTGTACTAAATAGGGCCTGTAGGAGATACCATAATAACCAATAAAAACAATAACAAGCATTCACATAGTAAGGAGGATTAATTTATTAAAGGAAATTAATTAATCCACATTCTCTTCTCTATGAAAAGCAAACAAACTGAGCTCCCTAAAGAATGCTGGCACTGAATTTAATCAGTTAAATTAAACCATAATGATCTCATAGCAAGTTTCATTGGACAAAATCAGCAAATACTTATGAAGCAGTAGGTTTAAACTTCATGTATTACAACACAAACCTGCAGGGATATCACACACAGCAAACAGGCCTACACGGGTATCTCCATTCACTGTCCATTTGAGAGTCTCACAATTTGGTTGGCAGCTGTGATTCATAAAACGAGAATAGTTTCCTTTGGGGCCAGCATCAATAATACGGTCCTGAAAATCATAAGAATAATAATAAAATGAAATTTAAGAACGTAAGAACAGCCACACTGGGTCAGACCAAAAGTCCATCCAGCCCAATATTCTGTCTGCTGACAGTGGCCAATGCCAGGTGCCCCAGAGGGAGTGAACCGAACAGGTAATGATCAAGTGATCTCTCTCCTGCCATCCATCTCCACCCTCTCACAAACAGAGGCTAGGGACACCATTCCTTACCCATCCTGGCTAATAGCCAGGGCTTGACAAATAATACAATCTACTCGCCCATGGCGAGTAGACTGTAACGTGGAAGAGCTGGGTTTGGGCAATCTGCGCATGCGCAGATCACCGGACCGTGCGGCCGGCGAGCAGGGCTTGCCGCGGTTTGGCGAGCCATGCTAATAGCCATTAATAGACTTAACCTCCATGAATTTATCTCGTTCTCTTTTAAATCCTGTAATAGTCCTAACCGTCACAACCTCCTAGGCAAGGAGTTTCACACGTTTACTGTGTGCTGTGTGAAGAACTTTCTTTTGTTTTAAACCTGCTGCCCATTAATTTCATTTGGTGGCCCCTAGTTCTTATATTATGGGAACCTCAGCAGGCAAAGACACCACACACATTCCCCCACTCCCAGACCAATCATTGTCTATGGGTGGGGAAGCAGGGAAGTATCCTGGCCCCGCCCCTTCCACTTGAGGTCCCGCACCTTCTAGAGCAGCCCCGGGCCACTTCAAAAATTTCTGAAGTGGCTCCCTGCAAAAAAACTATTGCTCACCCCTGAGCTGAGGGTATCAGCCATGATATTCTTCTCCCCAGGTAGGTATGCCGCCACGATAGGTATATTGTGGCCAAGGCCAGACGGAGGCATGGGTGAGACGCGCAGCTGCCCAGGGTGCCAACCGATGGGGGGCGCCTAATGGCAGCTGTAAGGGGCGCGCAGCGTCCCTTACAACTGCCATCAGGCGCCACACGCCCAGCTCCCACAACAACGCCCTTCCCCCCACGGACGCAGGGCCCTACACAGCCCGGCATGCGACAGCCGGGCCGGACTGGACCGTGCTTGAGCCATGCGCCCTAGGGGCGGGCTCCGGGCTGTGCCAGCGGCCGTAGCCAGGCCACGCATGTGCCCCAGGGGCGGGCCCGCACATGTGCCATGCGCCGGGGGGCAGCACTGCACATCCGTGGCGTCAGAATACCTCGGGCCGGCCGATGGTGGATGGTGGATCTTGGTGAAAGGGCACCCCATTGCAGAAGTTCTGTTCCTGTATCCATCACTGTAAGGAGGTAAGGACTTTCGGAGGAGGTGAAACGTGTTTGTGGACTTGGTGGATGGTTTGTGTATAAAGTGATGAAATCCAGTGTTGGAAATATGGCAAGTGCACTCTGGCATATAGGATGATATATGTGGTAGCTGCCACATGCCCCATGAGTTTGAGACAAGTTAGGATGGGGACGTTTGGGCTGGTGGTTATGATTGTGACCAGGCTTTTCATATTGTCGAAACAGTGATTGGGGTGATAAGCACGTGCTGTTGTGAAATCTATGAGCCCCCTTATGAACACTAGGGACTGTGTGGGGTGTACAGTGGACTTCTGGTCATTGATAAAGAGGCCTAGAGATTGAAGGGAGGCCTTTGTGAATTTGATCATGTCCCTTGTGGTCTGTTGGGAAGGACCTCGGACGAGTCAATTGTCCAAATAAAGGAAGATCTTGGAGAAGACACTGGGGGCAGAGGAGAGTCCGAATGGAAGGACTCTGTACTGAAAATGGTCTGATGATACTGTGAAGCGTAGAAAACGTATGTGCACAGGATGTATTGTGATGTGGAAATATGCGTCTTGGAGGTCGAGGACTGCAAACCAGTCCCCCCCCGTCCAGTGTGGGAATGGCTGTGGCAAGTGAAACTATTTTGAAGCATTCCTTGCGACAGTATTTGTTTAATTGATGGAGGTCTAAGGATAGGCCTCCAGCCCCATTCTCTTTTCTGTGAGAAACGTAGTTTGAGTAAAATCCTCTACATTCATGTTGTTCAGGGACTCGTTCTACAGCTCCTACAATGAGAAGGTGTTTAACTTCTTGGTGAAGCAATGTTTTGTGAGACAGGTCCCGGGAGAGGGTGGGGAGATCATTATGAAAAGAATAATTACCCGCGACTGATGATTTCTAGAAACCACGGATCTATGGTGATTGCTGCCCATTTATTGTAAAGGGGACGCAAGTGGTGGTGGATGATGTTGGACTCACCTGGCACTGGTGAGGAGGGGAGGTCAGGCAGACCGTCGACTAAATTTTCAAAAGTGCTGTCTAGAGACCTGAGTCGCAGATGAGTGTGTGTCTGGGGTTCTTCTGTGTTGGTTTTGCAGCCAGAAGTGGTTTTGTTCAAATGGGTAATACCGCTGTTGTCTGCCAAAGTTTTATCCCTGTGTTTTTGGTAAGGTGTATAGGGCTTCCCAATGTGCATAAGGTGGTGCGTAAGTCTTTGCTAGAATGCAAGGCTTTGTCCATCCTTGCAGCAAACAATTTTGCCTTATTGAATGGTAGGTCTTCTACTTTGGCCTGGAGATCCTTAGCAATTCCTTCTGCTTGAAGCCAAATACACGTCTCATTACTACAGACATTGCTGAAGTTCTTGCCATGGTATCTGCAGCATCAAGAGCCATTTGTAGAGCTGTATGGGATATAGTATATCCCTCTTTAATGATGTCTTTAAGGATAGGTCTCCTGTCATCTGGGAGATATTGCATGAGCTCTGTTAGTTTTGCATACTTGTCAAAATCATGATTAGCAAATTGAAGGATTGAGAAGGAGTATATTTTACTCCCAAACACATCCAAGAGTTTGTGGTCTTTGTCTTGTGTATGTGTTTTGTGTTGAGGATTTTTAGACCTTTGCTTTACAGCATCAACCACTAAAGAATTGTGTTGAGGATGTAAGTATAGAAAGTCCATGCCTGTTGATGGGACAAAGTACTTTCTATCAACCCTTTTGTTGGTTGGGGGAGCTGTGACTGGCATTTGCCATACTTTGTCGGCTGCTTCAAGTATTGCTTCATGTAGAGGCAGTGCAATTTTGGATTTTGTAGACGGCTGAAGGTTCTTTAAAAACCTGTTGTGTTCTTCCTGCACCTCTGATAATCTTCTGAGTGACAACCACTCTTTTGAATAAATCCTGGAATTGTTTGAGATTGTCACTAGGCATTGGGTCATTTTGGACAACTCCTTCATCAGGAGCAGAGGAGGAGTTACCACTTGGTGGCATGTCTGATTGTTGATGACTGGATCATCTTCAGCCTGTCCTTCCTTGAGATCCGTGCCCTCAGATGGAGAATGTGATGGATCTGAGTGTATAGAGGACAGTGACCTCTGTGCAGATGTAGGAGGGGCAGTGGAGGTGTGTTGTGGTGCCCAGTAGCATTAGAAGACTATCACCTGTTATGCTGGGAATAAAACTGCCAGTCAGGGTGCAATCAGGGGGTATTGAAAATGTCGTAGCCTGTATGATGGCACGTTCTCTGTCTAGGGAAGAGTGTTGTGAGGAGAAAATACTCCTTGTATTCCCGTGGTAGGCACTGAGTTGTGAGACACTAAGTGAGTGGAGAGCCTCTCATTGATAATGGGGAGTGAAACCGGTGCCGTGCTGAAGACTCGACAGGAGACCTGGTTCTAGTTCTGTCATTTATTGGTGGAGCATGTGTTTTGCGCAATGGGGAACAGTGGCGGGTTGATGACTTGTGCCCCATTGCCGAGTCCACCAGTGCCTGAAGTGGCGGAATGAGTGCAGTTGATACCCTGGGAGATCTGGGGTTAGTGTGAGGCATAGGAGGGTAGTTGGAGCTAGCCCTATCATTTCTTGGCATCAGACATGAAAGCTGCGCCGGGGCTCACACCCATGCCAGGGACATCCACTGTGCTGGCAGCATCACAGGTGTCAGTAATGCTGGTGGTGCCTCTGTTAATTCGGGCCCTTAGTAGGTGCCCTTTTTGATGGATGGGTAGCTGGTTTTGCAGCCTGTTTAGTGTGTGCTTTTGAGCCTGTTAGTGAGGAGGCTCAAGATTTTACCATGCCCGAGGTGCCAGGTTCATCTACCTTACTCATTTATGGCGGGAGGAAGCAGCCTGGTGAGGGTTTGGTTTCTGAGCATACATCCTGATGTGAAGGGCTTGAGAGGTTCCCCTGAGGGGACGTTGCACCCGAGCCCTTATTGCCCCCTTTATACATATGGGGGTCTAGGGCTTTCTCAATTAATAGTGTGAGTATTCTGAGCTCTCTTTCCTTGTGAGCAAGCTCTTGCTGTCAGACAGTGACAATGGACACATTTTTGTGAAACACAGGTGTCACCCCTGTGATGTAGTGGGGGTAGTACCCGGTCCGGGGCCACTATGTCGGATCAGGCCAGCATCACCTCTGCCCCCATGTCCCAGAAACCCGTCACCTTCCTACCATCCACCTCCAGGGGTACAAGGCACTCACACCGCAGGGGCCGCCCTGCCCCCACCCGGTACATGGAGAAATCTGCCTCCCGAGGGTCCGACCTCCCAGGGGAGGTGCACTGAGCATCCTTCCCCCCTCTCTGAGCTGAGGTTTGCCTGCTGGCCCCAGCCTCTGGGGCAACCTGCCCTTCTTCTAGCTCCAGCCAGTTAACCCTGGAAAGTCCCAGGTCATGGGACCTGGTGCACTGAGCCCTCTTGTGGCCTTTTTGCCCACAGTGATGGCAAGTTAGGCCCTGCGGGCCCCTTTGGGCTGTCTCTGTCCAGGCCCTGGCTGGTTCTCTGTGGCACAGACGACTTGTGTCTCGGGCTTGCCTCGTAGTTGACTCTCTCCGTCGCTCAGCCGAGATCCAGTCTTTACGCGATTCCCTTTCTCTCCGGGACTCCCGTTTACACCCAAACTCATCCGCCAGTCTCCTGGCCTCCTGGGGGTTCTCTGGTCTTCGGTCCTTGAGCCACAGCCTCAGTCTGGGTGTGCATGCTTCATAGAACTGCTCCATCATGACCAGTTTGAGCAGTTCCTCT